TTTCTACAAGCCCAAGATATCACCGAGAAATCTTGGATGGCATCGGTGTGTGCGCCCGTATTCGATTGCTTGGTTCATGCGCGCAACACCACTCCCACATGTTATGGTGTGTACACACACACACACACACACACAAGCACCAACTTGTATAACTGCTTCAGTCATCAACAAGCCCTCGTTTATTCCCGATCAGTCCTCCGATCTAATTTGTCGCAAGTCATCTCTACCATTTCGCCCGACAAGGCTAGGTATCTGAACTTGACTTTGAGATCGGCACGATCCCCGTTCAGGACCGCCCAGAATTCGACTGAATAGAGTGGGCCCCGTTGAATGTCTTGAAGTACCGCTTCAATAGCTTCCAAGTTGTCGATGTAATGACTTCTACAGCACCAGCCCCAGAAGTTGTGGACAAGGTGGCAATATACGGTAGGCCTTGGGTTCCCACGGTGATCGAACGTCGTGTGTCCCATAATGAGTACACTGGAGCTAATTGGGTATTCCGTGATGACAATTTCGTGTCTCCCGTCAGTTGATTTATAACTGCCAGTGTATTCCGAGAGAGATGGCTGTCTCAGTAGTGATAAGGTGGCCGCCATCGTGACGAAGGCGAATTGAAGAGTTGACAGATAGGAGATGTCGATTGAGAAAATTCAAAATTGGATATAATTGGAGATATTGGCTATTATCCTGAGACAGCGGCTCACTAACTGTGCATTATCCACAGTATTTCTATAAATGTCTGTCTCTACACCTGGCGGACTTGCTCTTATGGATTGCAAACAATATGGAACCTGGGAATAGGAAGAAAGAGTGTTTGCCATGGGCGGTAAGCCCCAGGGAGGCGGCGACTACCTTGCGTTGGAAGGATTCCATGATTGCAGGACGACGCCACCTTTGCCAACCGCAGAAGATGTCCATTGTCCACTCTTGTTCAAGAAAATTGATCAAACTTGTGACGGTAGTCAATGATGACGTTCAACAAGCAGAAATTAGGACGCGTGGCGGGTAGCAAGCTGGGTTGATTCACCTGCCTACGGTAAGGTAGATAAGTAAGGTGGTTAAGAATCATATGGCGAGGCATCAGATAAAGCAACAACAGTTTTGTTCAGACATGCGAACATCCTTTGCTGTTTTCCCCATAATCCAAGAGCTTGAGAGCCCATTTGCGAGAAAAGTTCCGTAATGGGAACAACAAAGGTTGGCCCCTACTGATGCAAGTAGGTTCAATGCGTAGCTATACACCTCAAAGATTGATCGTGCTAGGCATAGAATGGTTCACAACCAATCTCCAAGGGAAGTATTGATTCTTGCCATCATCAACCATTAAAGGATCAGTCCCACTCATTGGAGAGACTCTTCCCTCCAGCGCGAACAACATCCCCGGCAGCCTGCGCAAAGACGATCCACTTCGCTACCCCGCCGTCCGGCGTGACATTCGCCCACTTATGCTTCGTCCCCTCTGCGTGACCGAATCGCCGGCCCTCACGACCTGCTTCTCCCCGGAGTCGAGGTGCAGCTCCACCACGCCTTCTAGCATATACACCACGTCAAACGTCATGGTCCTGTGCATCGGCCACTCCTCGCCAGGGTTGAGGACCGTGACGAGTGCCGAGGTGCCCTTGTCTGGTGCGATGACGCGCGAGCTCAGGAACAGGGACTGCGTGCGATCGATCTTGTACTGTTCAATGTCTGCCTCGCTGGAGAGGTCGAGTGGTGTGTTGTGGGTGGAGGCGAGGACTTGAATTGAGCCCGAGGGGACTTGGTGCGATTCTCGGGTCCCTGAGGCGTGGGAGAAGATGGCTTTTCCGGCTGCGTCATGGGTTGTGATGTGGTGGGACATGGTATACGTGAGTGAGGTGGTTGATGCACAAGACGGGACTTCGTTTTACCTGGAGTTTAAAGAGCTCGGAACGGCACTTATCCATATACGAATATGGCAACACAACATGGGATATACGGCATTGGCGTTGTTTCCCAGTCAGTGAAAGTTGGCAAAGTTGTCCCCGGAACCCAAAATTTGTCAGCTCAGACCAGTCGGGATTTGTGGTCCTTCGAAGCAGACGGTCCTCAATGTCTGTATTTGGCAATTTTGACACGAAGCGGGATTTGGAAACACGTCACGCTAGAATCTCCAGCGACGATCGTCCAGCACCATGGCCCACGGGGCTGAAGCTGCGACTGCTAGAGAAAACTTTTATCTTAGAACGTAAGAGAGTGACATTTGCTGCTGGCTTGCTGCTCGGAGTTCCATGGAGGTGATGATAGGATCAAGAGGCGTATCATGAGTTAGGTGGTTAAGGAATATGAATTCCTGAAGACCCGCATGCTTTCTTCATAACGTTGAAAGGAGAATAAAACACTGCAAAGTTGTTGTACTTGAATAATCACAGCATGGGACCTACGAAGGCCCCCCTCGTGAACTCTCAAGTTCTTAATTGCAAGACCTCGGGACATGTGCTGGACACTGGTTGTCGTTCCCTGCGCGCATACCTTATGAGGACGGTGGTCGAAGACGCCTGCGCCGATGGATTGACGAGAAATTCTGACTGAAGGCTGGAAATGAATTGAATAGCATCAAAGTGTTTCTAGCATACAAGACCGTCATCAACGAATCTAACAAGCCAGATAGCCCCCGTCAACATTCCAGTGTGCTGCATTGACTGTAAGTTTACGCTAATCAAGTCATTATCAGTCTTTATCTTACCTCCTGTCACGTATGAGGCATCTTCACTCAAGAGAAAGCAGATGACCTTTGCGATCTCATCAGGTTGGCCCATCCGGCGAAGCAAAGTATCCTTGGAAAGCGTGTCCGAGTCAAAGAGTCCCAATGCCTCGCCGTCTCGAAAGATTTTGGTATCGACCGGCCCGCTGATTCCAGCCTTAGGTTAAGACTCACAAAGCTCTCATAGCACTTGAGGAGTTCACTCACGGCAGTATCGTGTTGATCCGGATGCCATCCTTGGCGTATTCCCCAGCGGCTGATTCTGTCAACCCAATGACGCCGAACTTGCTTGTTGCGTACGCGGCGCTGTGCGGTAGACCTCTCCGGCCGGAGGTGCTTGACACATTGACGATTGCTCCTCCTGGCTTTGGTAACAGCGGTAGTTGAGCTCGCATGCAGTTGAGAACCCCGTTGAGATTGACGCCTATGGTCCTGTCCCAGTCTTCTTGTGCCTGCGAAGCTAAGACGTCAGCGAACACCGATCACGACAGATACGAGCTCTGGAGAGGAGGGGCTGATTCTCACGATTGTCTCAATGATTGTAGATCCCGTCCCGCCAGCGACTCCAGCAACGTTGGCAGCCCCATCGAGTCTGCCAAACTTGGCGAAAGACTCTTGGATCCAGGACTTCACCTCATGATCTTGGCGGACGTCGACTTTGGAAGCTAGGACTTTGGCCCCAGCTTTCTCGCCTTTTCTCAATTGTCAGTAGCTGGTTCATCTTCGCGTTTCAGCTGAAGTGGTATGGCACAGAGGACCTCACACTCTCTGACGGTCTCATCTAAACCCGCTGCATTCACGTCGCTGACCGCGAGAGCAGCAGCGCCTCTTTGCGCTAGTATTATTGCAGTAGATCGACCTATACCCTAGAAATTTGTATGAATCAGCTATCGCACTGGGAAATCATAACTGGAGCACCAATTGACAACACTGGGTTAGTTCGGGAAGCTTTACCGATGCGGCACCGGTGACGCAGAACACCTTACGCGCGAACATGACGAATCCGAGGTTTGCCTAATCGGCGCATGCACAGCGAAACACTCGAGATGAGACACAAACTCGCGGTCTTTTTGCCGTAATATTCTTGCGTATCGAAAGGCATCTTAAGGCTCGTTGGAGTAGCCGTTATCCAAGCAACACCCTGGTTGTGTTGGTCGATAATTGCGCCGTATTCAGCCTGCCGTCTCACTGCGGACTGATATTCGGCCTAACTTTCGAATGCCGGCCAAGACAGGACATCAACCACACATTACTGAAGCTGAAAGTCCATTTGAATTGCATCAGTTCTGACTTTGAAGTGATTTAAAAGTTGCAACAACAGACAAACACCTCTAACGCCACACCGTAGTGTCTTGCAAACTGATTCTTAGAACCGCCGCGATTTCAATTACACGAAAACCACTTCTACCTCACTCAGTAGCAGCAATCCGAGACTCTAACAAAGACTTTTCGCTTTCTCAGATTCATAGTTTTGCAAAGATGGCAAGACAATTGGATGGAAAAGTGGCGTTGGTCACAGGCTCCTCATCTGGCAGTGAGTCCCGCCTCTATGTAGCAGGGTAGCAACAACACATGTTGACGATCGTGACTTCTGCAGTCGGAAGAGCAATCGCCATCCAGCTTGCGTCTCTCGGAGTCAAAATTGTTTCCTTTGATCTTCACGACCTGCCAAACTCCAAAGGCTACGAAGAAGACATCGACAAGACGACAGCAGAGGTGATTTCCGCCGCGGGAGGCGAGGCCATCTTCTTCCCGGGTGACATCACAGACACCAAAGTCGTCGAGGATGTTTTCAAGAAGTCAAACGAGGTGAGCTAGGAACTTTCCCAGATCTGCAGCCCTCATTCCCTCTAGGTCCCAACTAACTCAAGTTTGCAGAAGCTCGGCCGCCTCGACATACTCATCAACTGCGCAGGGTACTGGGCCCCATTCCACCTCTTCGCAGACGAATCCGACCAGCTATGGGAACGAATGTCGGCCGTGAACACCCTCGGCACCGCAAAAATGTGCCGTCTTGCCATCCGCCAGTTCCTCCAGCAAGACCTCGACCCTGCATGGGGCAGCCGCGGACGCATCGTCAACATCTCGTCCTGCGCGGGCGTCGTCGGGTTTCCGGGAGAGGTGGCCTACTCCGCGACAAAAGCTGCGGTCAACCACATGACGAGAGCTGGTGCTTTGGACCATGCCAAGGACTACATCAACATCAACTGCGTAGCGCCGGGCGTCGTGGCGACGGGGCTGGCGAGGGGGAATCTTGAGGATGCTGGGATACACGAGCTGATGAAGAAGGCGACGCCGTGGCCTCGATTAGGGACGGCGGGTGATATTGCTGATGTTGTAGTGTTTTTATGCGGGCCGGAGTCGAAGTGGATGACGGGTCAGGTTCTTGCTGTTGATGGCGGCATGACGATTGGCGTGGCACCCGGTAGTTGAGATCCCCCGTTGGTGAACTATTGAAATAAAACTCACGTCGTTTTAAGCTGATGTCGAGATAGCTGGTAAATAATAGCATGGGTGGGTTTCCACGATTCGGTGCTTATATTAGTGTGCGCTACCAAGGATAGACTGGGGAAGTGATGTAAAAGGTGATTTTGAGAGCCATCATCCGCTTCGCAGGCTTGAATGGGCCTCGAAATGAGCCTGGGTAAGTCATAGGTGAATTACCACGCGATTGCTTCGCTCTTCGGGAGTCACGAAAGTCGCTAGAGACATGTTGCGACCGTAAGTTCGATGGATTTGGGATTTAACCATGTCTAAGTCTAACCCGGCCTTGTATCTGAATCTCCAAAGCACATCTTTAGATGACCGCTTCACTCATACCGAACACGGTTGACAAGAGTGCCAATCTCAGAAATCTCAATCCTCATGTCATCTCCGTCATGGAGTGTGATGGGCGGGTCTCTCATCACGCCAATACCAGGACCAGTGCCCGTCATGATGATTGTGCCCTTCTCCAAAGTTGTACCCTGTGACAGAAACGAAATCATCTGTGGGATGGTAAAGATCATCTCCCTTTTCATCAAGTCAGCATTCAACTGTAACGCCCGCTCGTATCAGTGCAAGGAGTACTGAAAACTCACTTCGTGTTGGAGTCTTGGACGACCTGATCGTTGTAGATGGCTTGAATCTGTAGAGAATGGGGGTCTTTAATGGCGGATTTTGCAACCAGGACAGGCCCTATGGGACAAGATCCATCCAGACCTATGTGAAATGTCAGCATCCGAATCCTGAAGTGAGCGACTTGCCCTTCATGAATGTCCCATTCGCAGACTCTTCACAACTCACCTTTCGAAAAAGACCACTGGCTGTTCTTGAACTGCTGCTTCCGGGCGCTGACGTCGTTGCTACAAGTATACCCAAGCACGTATTCCATAGCCTCTTCCTCTGGGATATCACGGCCAGACTTTGAGAGAACCAGAGAAAGCTCGGCCTCGTAGTCGCTCGACCCGTCCTGAGAAATCTTGGGGATGTTGATCGTGGATGGGTGCGGGCCAGTCAAAGCTGTCCTCGGCTTGATGAAGAGGACGGGGACCTCGGGGATGGGCATATTGGCTTCCTTGGCGTGGTCGCGGTAGTTGAGTCCCATGCATCGGATGATTGGGACTTGGTCGGCGGTGACGGGTGATAGAAGCTAGAGGTCGTTTACAATCTTCTCAGTAAACATGCAAACCAAGTAACCACAGATGGTAAGATATAGCGGAACTTACGTGTTCAATGTGCAAGACATCTTCTGTGACACGCCCATCAAATACATCTCCAACTACGACGTTGGCTTTGACCTTCTGGCCTTCCAGTGTCGCTAGTCCCACATCAGGATACTGGCTGGCGTCGATCTGGCCTAGGTGTATCTCATTGTCTTCTTCAGCGACGAAGCGCACCAAGTGTGTCCACGAAGGGCTCATCTTGTATCGTGGTGTTATGATAGGTCGTGATTGTGAGGCTCTGGCTTGAAGCTGTGAATGGCTACGAAGACTGGTACTCGAATGAAGAAGGTTTATGGTGACATGAACTGATTCCCGGAATTCAAAATGCGCAAAGTACACAGCCTATGTCCCATGTCACAACCTATTTCTCGTTGGTTCGTATTAGACCGGTACGTGGGATTGAGACAGATTTGCATAGAATCAGTCCGTCCGTTGCACTGCAGCCCAAACTAGTTCAGCATTTGACCGGAAACACAGGGTTTATTCCTTTCCACAGGGTAATTCTACTGTGAAAGACTGAAGGGCGCACACAATTGCATACTGTACTCGGTCGACTTGGAGTAGAAATACGTCAAGCCAGCCTAGCCCGGCGGCAGTCACGCCTTGTGAAAAGAATCTCAAGCAACCTTATCACGACTTCGAAGAAAATCGATTCCAGAATTCAACGCTGACTGCCTTGGAGGCTTAAATCTATCCTCGATCTGACAAGGGGTATCACGCACTCATTACAATAAGGTAGACATGAAGAAGCTCAGCTCCGGGTCACCCTCCGGAAATCCGGCAAACTCATCCGAAGCATTGAGACCGGGAATCCCTAATCCATCTGTAGTACCCTCCGCGCCATCTTGCTGCCCGTCAACAAACCAGTTGGCCTGGGCGGTTGAAGCGTTACGCGGCGACATTGGTGTGGGCACGTCTTGGCCTTGGTGTCCCGGCCCTACGGATGTGAACAAAGAGTTCTGGTCCAGCTCAGGCCCCATCATAAGGCCAAAGTTCTGCAATGAACTCGTTCCGTTGAAGGCGGAGGTATGATGTCCAGCGTGTTGATATGATGCGCAGCCTAGCATGTGAGTCGCTTCAATCGCCGCAATCTCTGCCTTTTTCTGTGCTAGCCGTTCCTCCAACGAATCAAGATTTTGTAAGAGACTTTCAGGCGTTCCCCAAAAGTCGGTATATTTCTGACATACTGCACGGAGCTCCTTGATCTTCATCTCCGATGCCTCGTTACACGTCGACGGTGCAAACACTTTGCGGAGGACCTGTAATGAGGCGGCGAGCCATACCGTGCTCGCCAAGAATGGGTTCGTCCATTGTATGTGTGTTTCTGAAGAGCGGCTGACGATGGAATGGATGTCGTCTGATGCCTCGAGACAGTTCCGGAGGCCTTCTGAGTTGGACAGCCTCTCCTTTTCATCCTTGGATGACGATGTCCACCCAAATGAAGGAGGACTTTCTGTTTCTGAGAAAATTGTGCCTAGTAAGATCTCGTTAAATGCGAAATGGTGGTAGATCATGAATCGTGCTAGCTGGATCATGAGGTAGATTGCGTGCTGTGAAGCATTCGAACGTCTCTCGGATGGCAGCTGAGGGCAATCGCTGCTCGACGAAGTACCCGTGGACTTGAAGTCCAGTTGAGCCCCTTGGTATGTGAGTGATCTTGGTAGTAGCGCGACAGTCTGCTTGAGAGCTCCGATGAGAACGGGTAGCTGTTGCCCATCTTCTGCCGACTGCCTTTTGCGGAATGATCCGTGGAGATACTGCTTGAGAGGCCGAGAATCGGCTCCCGGTGCGGGACTGAGGTCCGAAAGCACACTGTGAAGATTGCCGCGAGCCAGAACCTGAGCGTTACGCATGATAGAATTGAGAACGATGAACCACGCGACATCGCTGGTGTTCCCAGACTTGCTCAGCTTCTTCGCCCGCTCCAATGGAGCAGGATCAAGCGGACAGCTCGGTTGGTACATGTTTTGAAACCACATCACGTCTGGCACCGGGAGGTGATTCTCGTTCATGCCTACGCTCTGGTCAATCGCGGTGGGCAATCTGTGCACCGTCGAGGCGAATATGTCCATCTGCCAGATGGCCCACCAGCTGCGGCGCCTCTCCTCCATCGCCGACCATTGAGCGACGCCAGACGTTCCTGGCTGAGGTCTGGCTTGCGTGATGCTGTCAACAAGATGAAGTCGTTGCTCGTAGGCGATTCTGACGCAGTTGCCCAGCATTCGCCATGCGCGACCGCGGACGCCTCTTGTGAGCTCATAGAAGGTGCATAATATGAGAGCCTGGAGGATGCAAAGTGGCGGGGGCTTGTCGTCGTATTCTTCGATTGCCTCGTTGACGAAACCCATTGCCGATTTGTGTAGTTGCTCATGGCTTGGGCCGCTGTAGGCTTCCATTGTTGGCGGAGACTCTGCATCGGGAGCTGTGGCGAAACGAGCTGAGAAGGAGAACATTGATGCCAATAGCGCCTTGAGGTGAAGTGCATTCTTGATTCCCTGGACCTTGTCTCCGAATGAAGGTTGATGGAAGAGTGAGAATGCAGTCATGTTGTCGAAATATGCGTCGGTCCTGAAGTAGATGTTAGTGACCAGGCGAAGCCGCCTACATCAATTAGTGAAAGCCTGATCCTCTCACAATGTTTGCAGCGATGCGATTGACAAGTCTAGCGACTCGCATACCTGCTGCAATGTGTTTTGAGCGCCGGCAAGTTGCAAGAAGAAGCCGCGACGGTTCGGCGAGGGGACACTTGAAGGGGGCGTCAAGTTTACGTCGTGAGATGGATGGACAAGGGCGGACAAGCTGATGGCGCGAACGAAGCGCGTATCGGAAATGTACGAAGAATCCGAGTGAAGACTGGCCAAGTCATCGTGGTCTGTAAGCCCCGTAGAAAGGAAGTCAAGGAGTTGTGGTTCAACAGCGGGCAGTGATCTCGAGCAGACTTCCGGTCTCACGGAGAGGGCGTCGTCCTCCGCCTCGACATGCTGTTCTTCGTCAACATGAGCGAGACTGCTGCTTAATCGCCGCCGCTTACGATGTCGTGAGCCTTGGTAGTTCGCTGTCAGCCGGCTCAGACATGGAGCTCAATTTACAGTGCTAGTGCGGTACCTGTCTTTGGGCCTGGTTTTAGTCGCGTTGATGGATAATCGCACGCCTGGGAATTCCTCTCGCAGAGTGTACAGCTTGGTAAAAGACGATCACTGGTATTGTTAGACCACACGGATACTTGCAGGTGAGCGCTGGAAGAGAGTAAAAGCTAAAGTATGAAATGACCCACCATTTCGCTTTCCTCCTGAATTCCCAATCAGGGAAGTGTCAGTCAATTGTGGTGCTGTAAACATGGGCGAAGAGACAGACGATCTCTCTCACCTCTTGCATGATTTGCAAGCAAGATCTGATATCTCGCCCTCCTGAGTGACGCCCTCCTGAGTACGGCTCGGAGATGGCACTCCCGCATCTCTATCACCATCAGATACCATGGTCAAGTAGGTCACTTAAGGCCAAGCAACTGTGTAGGAAGTCAAGATCGTGTGCATTCAACCAGTCTGGAAGGGGGTCCGCAGGGGACGCGATCTTGTTTGGTGCTTTTGCGGCACCTATGGTGGGTCAGCCAGTTTCACAAAGCCCCCCAATAAGTGCTGCAAAATGACGTGGAAAGCTCCGCTGCCACTCATACCGGCTGGGGCCGCGGCTGGACCGGGTTGCGGGGAACAAGACCCCATAGTTGTCCGGATCCTGGCCCCAAAGCCAAGCCCGTTCTGGCATCTGGCATCTTGCAAATCCGGGGAAAGCTGCTAGACGTTGGGGGGGCAGCTCAACGGCCAAGGGCCAAGGACCATTCCTGATCTCACGCTATAACGAATAAGAATATGGCAAGACATGTTGGTTGGTAGATGAGAAACGCGGGATTCCCGTAGGAGCCGGTTCCCCGCCCCCGGACTGATTCTCTCACAGTATGTACCCCGCCGGACAAATTTCGTTCAGGAACACCATGCCTTTGACAGATGGAGATTCGTCCGGGTCCAATCAGTGTAAGAGCATTGCTAACAAGGTTGTAGATGTTAACTTCACGGGTGCTGGTCGACACCAGAGGTGTAGGGTAGTATGGATGGGCGTGTACAAAAGCAATGGAGGCTACTCGTTCCAATGACGAAGTAGCTTAGTAGATATCTTGAAATTGATTGAGATGTGGCAACTTGCAATTATAACTCTCATTTTCGGCGTCTTGCTGCATAAGACTTTGCAGATAGGAAAACGAGATCCGCGGATGCCACCTGGACCACCTACACTGCCAGTCCTCGGAAACTCTCATCAGATCCCCAGAACAGGGCTTTACAAGCAGTGAGTAAACCTGTATCCTATTTCAGTCAGATATTATTACTTCATGGGACGCGTGAGCTGAGAATATTCAACGGTCTAGGTTGCGAGAATGGGCACTTCAATACGGATCAATTTTCTCCTTGAAAGTTGGACCATCCTCGATCATCGTCCTGTGTGACCGTGAGGCTGTCCATAAGCTTCTCGTAGAGAAAGGCAGCATTTACTCCGATCGACCTCCTAGTTATGTGGGGAGATTACTCACACACGGTGACCACCTCGCTCTCGAGCAGATGGACACCACATGGCGGTCTAAACGCAAGGTGATTTCGCACAACTTCTCTCCAAAGAGGCTTGACGAGCAACACTTTCGAGTTCAAGAGGCAGAGTAAGCTACCAACAGACATCAGACTCTCTTTTCTGAGTTATCTTTTCATGGTTGCTAACATGTTTGTGAAAGGGCCACGGTTTTAATGACTCGCCTTCTAGACAAACCTGAGGGGTTCTTCAACGAGATCCGTAGGTACACTGCTTCAGTGGTAACATCCATCACATACGGCTTTAGAGCACCCGATATGAATTCTTTCTGGGGACATGTAAGCTGTTTCAATCAATGCAGTGACGCTTAGCTTGGCCCCCTTTCGTGGTGAAATCCGAGCTAAAATACAGATCTAGGGAGTCTACGATGTAATGGCAAAGGTGAGATCAAGTTTGCATGGCACACAGGCAGAAATCAGTGTACTAACGTGAACCCTCATAGTGGACAGCATCGATGGAGCCTGGAGCCGCCCCTCCGGTAGACGTCTTCACCTTCCTGCGATACATCCCCTCCTCAATGGCCTTCTGGAAACGCCGCGCACTCGACGCCGGTAAGACAATGGACGCGACCTGGTCCAAAGCACGTCGACTCGTCGAAGAGCGTCGCACGCGCGGAGAGAGACGAAACTGCATCATCGACGGCCTGCTTGACGAGTACGAAGAGAAGGGTTGGCCCGAACAGATCAGCCAGCACGCCTTTACCAATCTCATGGGGGAAATCATCGAGGGTGGTGCCGACACCACTGCCGCGCAACTTTTGACTCTGGTCCTCGCTTTTGCGCTGCATCCTGATGTCCAGAGGAAAGCACAGGTTGAGATTGATGAGGCTTGTGGGAGTGGTCGGTCTCCTCGCTGGGATGACTTTTCGGAGCTACCTTATGTGAACTGCATCGTTAAGGAGGGTATGCGCTGGCGTCCGGTGTAAGTCTTCTCGCCACTTTGTCATCTCTCGTGGAAGCATTTATAGAACTAATCATACGGAAACATCCAGTGCTGTCACTGCCCTTCCGCACAAAGTTCGCCAAGGTTCGTTCATGATACCGGACACCTCATTTTCCAACCAACAGTAGTACTAACGAGAACGTGTCTAAAGATGATGAATACAATGGCATGTTGATCCCAAAAGACTCAACAATCTTCATACCCACCTGGGCCCTCCATCACACCGAAGAAAACTACCCCGACGCAGAGCGATTCGATCCGGACAGGTACCTCAAGCACCCCAAGCTAGCCAACGACTACGCAGGCAGCCCGGAGTGGGAGAACAGAGACCACTACAACTACGGCGCCGGCCGCCGCATCTGTCCCGGCATCCACCTCGCGGAGCGCAACATGTGGCGTATCGCCTCCAAGCTTCTTTGGGCCTTCGAGTTTGCTGAGCCAGTGGACCCTGTCACAGGCAAGGTTGTGCTTTTGGATCCGCATGCGTATAATCCTGGGATTTTGCAGGCGCCTTTGGAGTTTCATGTTCGGATTACACCGAGGAGTCAGTCTCATATTGAGACGATCCGACGGGAGTTCAAGGAGGCTGAGGCGTTATTGGCTCAGTATGACTGACTTGATCATAAGAGACTTAAATTGGCGGTTAGGCCTGTTGGCTCCGACGATGCCAGTGTGACTTCTAGACTTAGCAAAGGATACGGGTAACAAGCCATGCTGTAGAGGAATGACAAATGTGAACTGCCATTCCTCTACCTTGCCGCCAGTCGATCTAGATATCGTTTCGCTCCACTACTGTATGTTGGTCTAATCAGCGCTTTTGCACTCCCCTGCGCCTCTTTCATCTTCAAACGAAATGTCAGCAAGAAGTACACTCTTATAAAAGGGTCAATGACTACATGTACGGGAGTCTTCGATCCCAAAAATTCAAGGTGCTCGCGAAAGCTCCCCAAAAGCAGCGGCTGCAATAACCGGGAATGATTATGGGACCTTTCGTAGCCATCGTGAGGATTGAGTAGCAACTTCCAGCCACCCGGTTCCAATTTCTGTCACCACTTCCGCTTCCCTATCTACATTTGATTCATTGCAGGATAAGCTTTGACACGTAAGTGGACAGCCAAGACATAAGAAGGTTGAAAGCTGCAAGTGGCCAAACCGCAGGATGCTCATGTCGCACATGTTGGAAAAGAGCGAGTTTCACCAGCTGATCGAAGTCAATCCAGGCCACAACGACCACCAGAAAACTCGTGGAGAAAAGATTGTGGTCTTCTGATGAGACACTAGAATCCAGAGAATACGGGGAGCAATGTATAAGTAGATCTGACAAGTCTAACTCAAGTATGTCTATGGCACTAAAACTCCATCATGCATCAACACGAAGCAGTACGGTCTTCATCACCAGCAGGAGCTTCTGGAAACACGAGTCCAAGTCAGCAGATACCTCACTCTGTCTCCAAGCCACAAAGCGATCCGGTCGAACTAGAACAACACCCGACTCCTCAACCCCCTGAACGCGCTCCCACTCATAGTAAACGTCCTCCCAATCCTGGCGGAAACCAATGGAATAGACCCTGATCTCGCAACCCAGCTTCGCCGAAACCGCAGCAGCCGCTTCGCGCCAAAGACTTCCGCCGGGACCGGTGAAGATGGTAAAGCCACCTTTGCCAGCCAAATCAATGGTTGAAACGGGCTCCTTCGGTACCGCCCTATTTAGCCATACATGAGGAATTCGTCGGCCAGGATAAGTACCAGGACCGTAATACGTAACAGGATCCTCAGCTTCCTGCGCTGAAGGCGCATACGGCCCATCTTCATCCTCCGCATAGATCGCCGGCCCTGAGTAAACCTGGTTCATCTCAACGCCAAGCCCATGAAACTCGTGCGCCGTCCGGCCAATAGCCTCGCGGAACGCGCGACGCTTCTCCCGCCCCTCTCTCGTCGTGTACGAGAGCTGCGCAAAGACAGCGGCGCGTTCTTCCGCCGTCTTCTCCAGCATGCCCAGGGACTGCCACACGGCGTAGTGGTCTCGGAAGGCTTCGTTGGCGCGGGCAACGATCCCGAGACCGACGGGCTGCCGTTCGACGCTGTAGGTTTCAAGGAGGGCGGCACCGGCATGGCCCTTTTCGACGTGGGCGATTTTCCAGGCTAGGTTGAAGGCGTCTTGAATTCAGGTGTTTGAGCCGAGGCCGTTCATCGGGGGGTGGCGGTGGACTGCGTCGCCGAGGCAGAATCTGATTTCTCGTTAGCTTTGTGCCATGGCGATGGATGTACGAGGATGAAAGGTCCGTCGGGGGCTTACTTACATGTTCCCCTCTGAGTATCTCTCGGCAACAATATCGTTGACGAACCACTTCGAGACAGAAAGGACCTCGACTTCAGTATCGTCCCCGATGAATTCTTTGACCCGCTTCTTGTACGCCTCTTCAGTCACCTCAGCCGACGGGTCAAAGTCCTTGTCCGGAAACAGGATGAACATCCACTCGAACCACGGCTTCACCATCCTCGCGATGCCCATCCAGCCGAAGCTGGGATGGTCTACCCCGGGCTGCATCAACCAGTGCAAGTTGCCCTTTCGGTGGTCCATTAGATGAGAGAGGTCGGCCTTGACGAGAACGTTGATGGCCAGGCCTCCGCCAGGCTTTGCTACCAGAGGTAGTTGGAGTGTCTTTGCGACGAGACTTCGAGCACCGTCTGCGCCAAAGATGTATTTTGTCCGTATGGAGTAGTGGGTCTTGGAAACCATGTCCCAGACGGTGGCTAAGTACCTCCCTTCGGGAGAAGATTCCCTGCTCCAGGTTACGAGCTTGGTGTTGAATCTCACGACAAAGCCGTGGTGTGCTGCGTATCGAACCAAGATCGGTTCTAATGCGGTTTGTGGTATGTCGACGGGGTTGCAGGGGCTCGCGAGTTCGTAGTCACCCTAAAGTGAAGTGAGCTTCTGAGATCTTTGCCTGGTACGAACCTGAGCGTGAAGTGTTGAATAGTTACCTTTCTTCTGGGGTCACTTCCCCATGAAGGGATACGCGCAAACTCCTCACCCGCCATGCTATAACACCAACGCGTGTGTTGCATGCAATGACCCTGTGTCGCAATCGCTTGAAGCTCTCTGTCCAAACCAATATCACGGAGACACTCTGAAGACATGTCAAAAAGTTTTCGTGGTGAACATCGGAAAGAAGCGGTCAGAGACCAGCGGAAGCTAGAACATACCCAGAGCTGCCATGTTTGTGATATGAGCTCGCGGTGTATCTGCGGTCGAGGGGCTTGCGCTGATCATGATTCCCTTGAGTCCTAGGTCAAGATACATATCAGCCTAAGGTAGCTCCCATCGAGAACCAATCGCACTCAGAACGAACCGTATGATGCGAGGAAACAAGCCAGTGAGGCCCCGGCAGGACCTGCGCCGATGATGAGCATGTCAGTCTCGAGAGCTGCGGAATCACTGCTGCCCTCATGAGATTGAGTATCTGCCTTTGGAGGCACCGGCACCGGACCATGGCTCCCACTGGCCGTCGTTGATGCGACGGTCTCCGAAATCGTCATCTTTAGAGACCCCGAATGATTTTCAATTGCGACTGTTGTTTAGGAGCTTGCCGCCGAAGAAATGTTCTCACGAATAGATGACAACGATCGAATTTCGTCATATACGAAAGAAGAACCCGGCCGGTTATCTCGCAGCATCAAAGCGTCGTAAATCCGAATGAAACGATGCATGGTGAGTATTTCCGTTCCGCGGACAGATGTGACGGGCTATTATTCTTTGGCTTGATTGCGTTGCGTCGGGGTAATTTTCTCCAAGACAAGAGGGAGTCGGGCACGGTCTTTGACGATGCTGCTCCGGTCTACCTCGGATAAACACTATGGCAGTGCAAACATTTTTATCAGAAAGCATGATAAAACTCGAATAGCTCAGACTTGTAGCCAAAATGCCAAGATTCAAGTTTTCAAGTGTTCCTTTACCTCCAAGTGTATATCGTGTCAATATCCGACCAGGAACAAGTTATTCCCACCTCCAAAGACCCAACCAAGCTTCAACTACCTTACAACAGCAAAGATGACCGCTCCACCCCGCAAAATCAACCTCGTGCGAATAGCACACATAAACTATAGTTACCACAATCTTGAAAGAGCCGAAGCCTTCTTCCGCGACTTTGGCTTCGTAGAGGCCTCTCGCGAGGGCACTCGCGTATACTACCGGGGCTACGGGCCCGAACCCTTCGTCCTCTGCGCCGAAGCCGGTGCCAAAGACGGCTTCGGCGGCGCGGCCTTTGTCGTTGACTCCGAGGAGGATCTTGAATATGCGTCCAAGACGCTCCCCGGGGCTTCGGAGCCGTACGAGTTGAGCAAGGCTCCTGGTGGAGGCCGGTGCGTGACGTTCGAGGGCGGTGTTGATAAGTTTCCCTTTCACCTTGTTTTCGGGCAGGTGATTCGTGAGAAGGCGACGGCTTTTCCGGAGCGAGACTTCAATTTCGTATGTATAGACGTGCTTCTGCTGTCATCCTTGTCTTGTGATGGTGTAGCAAGATGTCTGACTACAATGACAGCCGACTGAGAAGCACAGAGAGGCGGGCACATTTCAGCGGTTTGATAAAGGTAAGTCGAGATCTCAACGTGTTTTTGGTCAATTCAACTTACAAGTCTATTGGTCCGGCACCGGTGCACAAACTGGGACACTTTGGCGCGTGCGTGACGGATTTTCAGCAAACGTACGACTTCTTCACGACTCGGTTCAACTTCATCCCCAGCGACGTAAGTCAAACACACTCCCTGACTTGATCTCCTCGTATCATTCTGGTACCGGAGGAAAAGTAACTCACGATAGAGTGCAGCTCGTGCACGACGAAACCGGACGCAACGTCACAGTCTTCCTACGGCTTGACCGCGGCGAAGAACTCGTAGACCACCACTGCTTCTTCTTCTTTGAGGGCCCAAAGTTCCATGTCCATCACGCCTCCTTTGAGACCCACGACTCGGATCTGCAGTTCCTCGGCCATGACTGGCTTCGCGAGCGGGGGTATGAGAATTGCTGGGGCGTTGGGCGACATGTCATGGGGAGTCAAATCTTTGATTATTGGTGAGTTTACTTCCTCTTTGCCATTTCCGAGGGGAGTTCGGGCATGCTTGGGTGGCATTACTTCCGTCCGGCTTACAAAAGTATTTACCTAGGTTCGACCCTAGCAAGTTCATCTTTGAGCACTACGTCGACGGTGATCAAATGAATAGTTCTCATCCGCCGAATCATTCCAAGGCGTCTCCTGATAGCCTTCACATCTGGGGTAAGTGTCCCTTCTCATAGAAGAGGTTTAACTGATTTCGATCTAACTTAACGATTTGACGCAGGGCCTGATCTCCCGGAGGGATTCTTACTTTGAGATTTCTGGGGCCGGGTAAGATTTGGACATTCAAGTGGAAGAGAAGACTTAGAAGATAATTACTTCTGTAGAGTACACCATGTTCTAGACACAAGAGTTGTCGTGAAGTTCACTGTACAGCCTTCACTAGAATATGCTCTAACAACCACTATTTAAAACCGGATTCATGGTATCGTACAAACAGACGCTTCGCCCAAATTAGCGAGGTTTGACACTTTAGAGTCATGAGTGAAGCTAATTTCTCAATTGTAAATATTTTGAAGAACGTATAATTGCCTACATATCTCTTACCATGCTGGCACGCTCAAGACAGCTTCTCAAGCGACAGGAGCACGGAATCAGGAAAAGTATTCCCGCAACATGCCTCATTACCAGCTCTCGTGATTCTGGTCGGCTATGTATGCGAAAAAGCTATTGAATTCTGTACCCGAAATATTCCGCTAAGTAGCTGCCCAAGGTCTCAAAACGTCGGACGGACTGATTTGGTGACTGCACTGTTGAAGATAATCATACCGAATCGCGGGGTAAGCCCAGATGCCAACTCCAAGAGCTCTCCCCCGCACTCATTGAATGTTGGAATCTACCGTCCGAATGAGCAGCCGATGCGAAATATCTGAGAATGTGAGGGCTTTAATATGTGAAGCAGGCCGTGATGTACATGGCAGGGCTCGTCTTGCGGCAGAAAAGCTCTCGTCGACGTTGAACCCCATCTACCTAACACTTAAAACTTTTGAGCCAGAATGTCGTGCCCGTTGTTCTTCGTAGTTGCCCGTGTCGTCGGGTCAGATGGCTCCTTGGAGAAAGTAAGAAGCCTGCAACCTATCGCGTTAAACTCTCAAAGCCTCCAAGGCACTCTCACGCACCTACTCTACACACGGCTAACCCCCTCAGTGGAAAGAAAGACTCGTAGCCCTCTGCGCCGTCTCCGCAACCGAACCCTTGGGAAACAGCTACTACTGGGGCCACGACCTCTCCGCCTCCTCCCCAGACACCCTCTGGGGCCTCGAAGGCTACACCCACCCGGCGGGCTTCTTCCTCGGCCATACCTCGACCGACGTCTTCAAGCGCGAGATGCGCCTCGCGGACGAGCAGAAGCTGCTAAAGACCGTTCAAGGCATCGGCAGCCCGGACTATGATCTGCATCACTATGACCTCGCCGGCGGCTGGTTGAAGCAGGAAGATGACCCCGGGAAGGATTCTCGTGATAGCGCGGTTGCTGTTTTGCATTTTTGGGCGGTGGAGGAGGGGGGAAGGGAGGAGGTTGTGAGGAGTTTGGAGGGGTTTGGGAAAGCGCAGAGGGGGAGGGAGGTTGGGGAGGGAGAGTTGCAGAGTTGTGCTGTTTTGAGAGAGGTTATGGATAGGAGTTTGGCGACATTGTGGTTACGGTATGTGAGTTTGTTACGAACGGCCCATCTGGGTAGTAGTTGCTCCTGGACTGGGTTGTTTTCGCTTTTCCTCTCGCTCCTACCTTATCATACTACACCGGGACATATGTTGCAAATCGCTAACACCTATTTTTCTTCTCGCCACATGTAGTGCAAAGACTCAGGAGCACCTCAAGTCTCATTTGGAGACACAAGAGTACAAGGCTTTGCTCGCAACTTTGCAGCCGTTGACCGTCCGGACAGAGACGCACCTATCGCAAGTCTTTAATGGACATATTGATCAGCCACCGACAGGGACTGAGGCGTGAAAAGGGTCAAGTCAACCAGCATTCTACTCTATGATCACTCGCCGACCCTGGGTTGTAGGGTGTTGGAGAACCGCAGTAAACTCATAGTGTGATAGTGGAGTTGCCATTAATAAACATTATGGGGTATCAATTATCTTTCATTTTTCTTAAGCACCAAAGTCGATTCCTCATGAACTTGGCTTCGGCTGGGGCTTAGCATAAGTCGCAGGATGCCCGTGCTTCTTGCCGTAATTCCTAATTTGCCTCAACATATCGGGCAAAATAAAGATCCAGACCAAGGATGAGAGGCAGATACCCAGCGTGTCGACAACCCAGTTGTTGCGCAGGGAACCACCGAGACCGCTCCACCGCATCAAGCTGCCCAGCCACGCCACCGTTACAAAGTAATCCCCACGCTCGAGTCCCTTAATGGCAGCCCTAGCGACCTCGTCGGGCGACTGGACGGGGTCGAGCTCCTCGAGCTGGTGTGTGATCTGGGGCTTGGTCAAGTTCTCCTTCTCCAGGCCGGGGCTCGTGATGGTCCCGGGGAACACGACGTGGACCTTGACGTTTTGTGGGTAGAGCTCAACTTCCTGCGAGAGGGTGTCGGCCAGGCCGCGGATGGCCCACTTGGAGCCGGCGTAGGGGGCGTACCCGGCGACGGTGAAGAAGGCGACGACGCTGGTGGTCATGATGAGGTGGCGCGGCTCGGCCTCGACGGGGGCCTCGGGGGCGAGCCAGACGCGGAGGATGGCGTGAGCCATCTCGGCGGTGCCGTAAAAGTTGACGTCCATGTTCCTGCGGGTCTCGGAGAAGGGCACCTCGGTAAAGAAGCCGGTGGAGGCCATGCCGGCGATGCACCAGACGACGTCCGGGCTGCGGCCGCCGTTCCAGGCGGTGGCCTCGGCGAGGAGGGGCGTGGCGTAGTCCTCCTTTGTGATGTCGGCGGTGATGTAGGTGAAGCGCTGGGTGGACGGGTTCTTGGCGGCGGATTTGCACTCGGCGACGAGCTCTTGGAGGCGGGCGGCGTTGCGGGCGATGAGGATGAGGTTTGCGCCCTTTGCGGCGAGTTGGAGGGCGACGCTGCGGCCCATGCCCTCGGAGGCGCCGGTCAAGAGGACGGTCTGGGGAAGAGTGCGGGTGAGTATGCGTATGTGAATAAAAGGGGGGATTCAAGGAATTGAGCGTACCTTGCCATCAACGGGCATGTGATTCTTCCAGTTGAACAGACCCATTGCGGATGCGAGAAGGGCTGCTGCGAGGGCGGGCAGGGCGATCCAGAGAGCTTGCGACGCGTATCCCATACCTCTCGAGTTGGGAGAGAAGATGGCCGAGGGCGATTGGAAAAGGGGAGAGAGGGAGCCGTCGTGACTTTATGTTCCGGCTTTGTCGGTGATGAATTGCTCGAGACGCGCGAGGCGTTGATGTTGGAGTAGCTCCCGTGCTCCCTCCCCTGAGGTATTCATTCGTAGACACGGTCCAGTAAGGTGCGTGGGTGT